TTGAGACCAAGGACCCTATTTCTTTAATCTACATACCCTGGTACAGTGTCTGACACAAAGTAGGTGCTTAAGAAATATTTTCCGAATCAATACATGTAGTGCGGGATTGCAGGCTTGCAAAGGGTTCCCCCTAAAAGTGATGGCATTTTGTACTCTCTGTCCCACTGCCACTGGATATTTAAAGTACAAGGAGAATGAATAGGAAAGTATCTCCCAGGGAACAGGTTTAACAAGTTGATATTAAAAGATAATTAATAGGGACTTTGATAAATTACTTTCAGTAAAACTGTGTCAGGCTAACCACAACTGTCAAAGTTAAGGTGACTTAGCTGTAAAACCCCAGAAAGTTATTTGATCTTGGCTGGAGAAGGGTGTTGGACTAGAGATGGAAGCAAAACTCCTCTGTTGTCTAGATCTGATGGAATCTTTTTCATTTCTCAAAAGGTGCCACAGACACAGCTAACATAATAAAAAATTGCTAGGAAAGTTCATGTTCTAAGGAATGATGTTAATAAGCAATGATTTAGCTATCAACAGAAAATATAAAAATGTAAAGCAAAGCTAGAGATTAATTTACCAGAGTTAAAATTTAGGAACCACTATTAAAAAGTTTCTATACAAAGATTCCCTCATCTAATCTTTCATACAAGTTTGAAGAGTCAAGAAACATTCAGAGGCCATCCTCAAGGATACGATAAAGTATGCAAAAATGCCAGAACCCCCACATATAGGAAATGGTTTTGGCTTAAAGACTAGGGAATTATTGGGTGAGTCATTTTGACTGTGGCTTCCAGTAATCAGGGAATAAAGCCAGGAAGTGAAAAGAAAAAAACAACAACAAAAAAACAAGATAAAATAAAGAGGATCAGCAGTGGTAATAATAAATAATGCTTACATGTGTGTAACACTTTAGTTTATGAGGCACTTTCATTTTTCAAAGGAGGAAAATTAAACTGAGAATGTTAGGTGGCGTGCTGAAGGTTACAAAGCTAAAATAAGCAGAGTAAAGGAGTGAAACTGGATTTTTCAACATAGAGTCTACAGCCCCTTCCGCTACTGTGCTTCTTTGGGCTCCTCTGTGCTATGGATGGGCCCAGAACATTCTAAGATGCCTTCAATGAGAGCGGATGTTTCCAAATCACTTAAGCATATCTTTCAACTTAAACAAGATAGCCTAGGTAGAGCCTTAGAAAATAGTTTGAAAGAATGAAGAAACTCATCAGCGTGCAGGAAGAAGAGAATCTTCATGTTCTCCATGTTATACTATTGATTTAAAAAATGCAAGGTACCATGAATTGTGGGTAATACGCTACTGTTTGCACAGAAGTGCTGCAAAAGAATATATTTAAATGTAGTTGTTTGTCTATGCATATGTTACCTCTTAGAAGCCACATAAGAAATTGCCAACACTGGTTACTTCCAGGAGGGGAAAATGGTGGCTAAGGGATCAGGGACAGGAACACAACTTTTCACTGTACACTTTCCCTTTTCAACCTTTTGAATTGTGAACCACATGAAAGTGCTACCTTTTTCAAAAAGTAAGTTTTAATTAAGAATGGGAATTGGAACAGAGGCAATGAATAGGTGATTCAAGGTGAAACATTTCAGAGGTAGAATGGAGCAGAAGAAGGGAAAAGAAAAAAATATTATTACAAAGTTTCTGTCAGACTCCAGAATTCCATGTGTTGTTTCACAGTCTGAAGTAAATATTCCTCAAGACCATCAAATTTCTTCCGTTTTAATTCTTTTATCATTATACAGCTCTCAATTCTTTATGAACCTTGATACTGAGAAAGGAGTGTCCCAATAGTGGACCCAAGTATTCAGGTCATCAGAGAGGTAGAGCCTTTCATGGTAAATAAGATAGTATCTAGTTTAAACCAGTCTCTGAGGAGGTTGATAAAGAATTATTTCAGGCACACTGATAAAATATGGACCTGCAGAGCTAAAAGGCTAAACCTCGGACGGACGAGTAAACCCCAACAAGGGTCTATCCAAAAATGGGACCTGGCCTCAACTAGATAGAGTTACCATCAACATATCTGGAATTTTCTGTTTGTCCTCTGTTCTATCACTACTATTACTTAAGTTAGACCAAAAATTTACCCTAAAGGTCACAATAACTTGAGAATTTGAAGTGATGATGAAACCACATCCTTGTCATCCTTTATGACAGCGAGTCATAGCATTTTTTTTTTTTAAGGCAGTGTCAAATCAGCTTCCTTTCCCAGGCAGGGATCACTCCATGCCTTACAGGTCCCAGAAACTGCTGAGTCTTGTGCTCAAGAGTTTAAAAAAAACCCGGGACCAATAAAACTCGTACTGTATAAAGAGTACACATTCTTGTTTTCTATTCTGATGTTTAAATTATGTATCTAAAGATAATAACATTCTTAAATAAGTGTAAGGTTTTAAAGAGTCACTGCCAGAGTTATTTTGGAACATTACAAAAATACCTGCTCATAGGTCTGCAGTCCAGGGCTACATAATCTGATTTAATAACTAATGGGTTAGCAATCACTTAGCAGGTCCTATACAATTAGCTCTCAATTTTGTAAGTAAGAAAGGACATGAGACATAGAGATGAATAAACTCAAATCCAAGTCTCATTTTAGCTAACAGTTTTTACATTCCTCTTCCCACTAAGTATATTTTTTACCACAGCTGACAGGCACTTAATGTACTGATGCAAGTGTCTCTTCCTTCCATGATATGACAGTTGTCTACACGATCATTATGACAACTAAAATCAGGAAAAAGGAGGAGGAAAATGAGTGACAGGGGTTGAAAGAGTGGAAGGGGCTAGATAATTCACAAACTGGATAAACTGAGACCTCAACAAATGTCTTATTTAACTGAATTGAAAGATGACTGACATACCACTGTCATCTCGTTTTTAATTGTATGGCCAAGTGACTGAAGCCACCAAGCCAAAATGTAAAACTAATTTGAGAAAAGAAGTTGCTTCAGGAGTCAGGATTCTACCATCAACAGCAGTTAATAAGGTTTACCAGCCAGCAGTTACTACTTGTCATTAAGAATTAACTAAAGTTTCACTACCTCATCCCCAGTGATGCTATTGATAAAGAGCAATGGAAAATTTGGAGGAAGACGTGATGAATCAACTTCTCTCTTCCATATGCCATATTTTATTAGACTATGAGTAAGTATAAGACTCGAAATGGGGATGGGGGTGGTACTAATCATCAAAATGGCATCTGACTCCCCAAATGCAGCATGGCTCACGCCAGAGAGTTGCTTCACTGTGACTCAAGATCTGTCAACTGAGGACATAAGGGAATTAGAGTAAAGCCAAGAGATAACACTCCTAAATTTTAAGCCGAATCTTCCAAGAGATCTAGGACAAGATCTAACAAGAATCAACTATAAGAAATTAACCTACTCAACATAAGTTGATTCTAACGTACTTTTGAAAATGCATTCTTTTTTTTTTTTTTTTTTTTTTTTAGCTGAGCCATCCTGCCACCTGTTGGCAGCTCAGCGGCTGCTCAGCTCGGGCTGACTCGAACCGCTGTTGCTCAGAGCTCAAACTCTTGAGCGAGCTCTTAACCAACTGAGCCACTCAGCCGGCCCCCTGAAAATGCATTCTTGCTAATGCAAAATTTCAGGAAAGAAGTCTGGAGACCTGCTTTCCTAATGACACATGCCTTTTATTGGTAGAGGGCACTGAAATATACTATTAGGTGTCTAAATCAATGTATCATCCCCCTATTCTCCTCACATAACCTTATTTTTTTCTAAAATAAAACGTAATTGGTGAAAGCATCAATTACGCATGTACTTCCTTTCTCAATACTGATAAATACAAATACATTTGAATCTTTGTCGTATACTATATGCCCAAATGCTACATGGCAAACAATTCTGGCAAATCCACTGCATTATGAACAGAAGTAACAATAGCTCCCAAAATATAACTATCCCTTTCTCCCCAACCAAAGGAAAAAGAATTGTCTCAGTTCCTCCAGTTATGTTCCCAAGAATTCAGAAAGAAAATTAGGAAACAAAATATTTATAGATGCTTGTATCTATTAATTTCGAGTGCAAACATTTCACTAATAACCACACTTTGCTATCATACTTATTTTTAATTGGATCAAATCATAAATCTTTGAGGGCACACAAAACAAAGACTAAATGACTCTGCCAATTTATAATGATCATATTTCACCTTTAGAAGGGTAATCACCAAGGAAGCAACAAATTGGATACATCCCTTGCTTCCTTCTCTCCAGTGATTAAACGGATACTACTCTACAGCCACAATCTGCTGGTTTCTACCACCACACACGCATTAGGCCTCAAACGCACTCCACTAGCCAGAGCTAGGCTGTTTAGAAATCCGCACTGTGTCACTGCATAAGGCAGCTTCCCACTGCACATATCCAGGAAGAAGAAAGCCACCTAAGCACTCTGTCACATCTCAGCAAGGCTGTAAAATGACATAAGGAGCTGCTAACCAAAAGGCAGGCAGCAACAATCACCACCTTTAAAAATCATTTAAGCACTTTTCCTCCCCATCATCTTCTCACTTCCCCCTCCCTCTCCTTCCCTCTGTCACACACACACACACACACACACACACACACACACACACACACACACACACTGCAGTTCATCCCCAGCATTGCAAGAGGAAGGCTGTGAGCTCTGGGCTGCCGCTGGAATGACAGCCCAGGACTCATTCAGAGCCCTGAAATACATACACACTCACCTGCAACACACCATGCCAATCTCTCCCCCCCTCCCCCCCTCGCCCAACACACTCGCCCTCGCAACCTCTTCCCACACCAATCCCGGCGCTGCAGAACACTCAGCAGGCACAGCAGCAAGTGTAGTACGCGGTTACCATTTAGGATGATTTGGGCGGCCTAAGCTCCAGAAACCCCCTCCCCACAAAGGCCACATCCCAGGCGCGGCCCGGAGGCTGGAGGACCCCTCGCCTACCGGGGCGGGGGGTGGGGGGGGGGATGCGCTACCTTTAGACTGGCAGTCCGCACAAAACTTGTTATCCTCCTCCAGCAGCAAGTTAGCCAGGACTGCCTGGTACCGATCCACGTCCTTCACCGACTTGCCCGTCATGGCCAGGGTCCCGGCGGGGGCAGAGGGCAGCGCGCCCTCCTCGCCCCCAGAAACCTCTGCCTCAGTCCGGAGGTGAGGACTCCTGGTCCCCCGCCCAGGTGCACCTCCTGAGCGGGGGTGAGCCCTCTCTTCTGGCCCGGCGCCCCTTCTTCGGTCCGCGGCGCCCGTCCCCCCACTCTGCAACCCCTCAGTGAGGCGCCCCCTGGCGGGTTTAGGGAAATGCCGGAGTTCAAGGGAAGTTGCCGGACCAGGGACCCTCAGCCCTGGCAAGGGGGACTCTCGGGCCTCCTGGATGCCGGGCACATAGACGACCGCTTGGCCTGCCCGTCTGCCTGCAGTGAATCTCACGCCTCGGTTTCCCTGGCAGCTGCCGCCTGCTCCGCCACCACCTCTGCCGCCTACTTCCGGCAGCTCTTCCTCTCCACCTCCACCCAGCCAAGCCCGCGCATGCGCCCCGCCCCCACCGCTTCACACTGGGCTCTTCCCTGGGCTTTGCCTCTCAGGAACCAATCGAGGCAGAAGCGAGGGGCGGGGCTTGAGGTGGGCGGAGGGAAAGGTGAACACGCCCCCCTGCATGCCCTTGGAAAAGAATGAATGGAGCTTGGCAGAAAGGGAGTACAGGGAATGAAAGAAAGTGAAAAAAACCATGAACATTTATTGAGCTCTTACTATGTACCAGGCACTGTGCTAAACTCTTTACATGAATTATCGTAATATAATCCTCAAAACATCTCTTTGAGTTAAGTACTTTTCACCCTTATGTAACCTGGGGGTTGTGGCTACACTAAAGACCTCCGGCTTATTCTTTCCTTCAACAGCCAAAGGGCTCAAGCTTCTAACCTGGGATGAGGGGGACATCACATCTTCCCCAAATTTTCAGAGGATCCTGCTCACCTCTCACTTGGAATGCCTGGGTCCGCTGAATTCTGGGTCCCCCTGTTCATTAGCTTTCCGCTAGTATTTATTGCCACCTTTGAACATTATTTTGCCCGGTGCCCAGACACTTTCTCCTTTTATTCCTTAAATCCTTCCCAAATAGTGCAGTTTTGTGCATCAGACTTTTACTGAAGGTTATTTGGAGGGGTAGTGTGGAGAGAAGGGTTGATTACAGCATATCACAGAATAAACAACCACTTCAAAATGATAATTAAACATTGTTCAAAACCACCCTTGCTACAGAGAATTTCTCCATGACTGTCCTTTTTCTTTCGTTAGGGATCCACCTGCCTTCTGGCAAATGTTTTCATTCATTCATTCACTCAGCAAATTGTTACTGAGCAATTTCTAAGTATCAGACACTTACTGGGGGAGAGGAAACAACATGATCCAATCTGTGGTTTTAAAATATCACTGGCTGTCACAGGAAGAATGGACCAGGGAGACGGTAAGACCAGATTGTCAGAGTTACCTTATTTCTAGTGAAACCCTTTCCTCCATCTCTTTGCTTTTTCTCAAGACCAGACTTCCCTCAAACTTTCATCTCATCAGAGCAAAACTAAAATTTTCTAATACTTTATTAATCAAAACAATTTAATTCTTTTTCAAAACTTCTTTCCTTCTAACCATGGCTAGGAGACTTGACTTTAATAAACACACAAGTTCATTAAGGTATTTTTTCCTAAACAAAACCTCAGTTCTTTCTCTAGAAGGAATTCTGCCTTCCACCCAAGCTAGTTTTCTCAACCTGCCACCAGTTTGCAATAATTTTTCTTACTTTAACTTATTTAACTTTTCTTACTTTAACACCTACTTTATAAATGAGTAAACGAAGACTTAGAATAAGAAACTCCATCTAGTGAAGAGTAGAGCTGGGATTTTTAACCTAGACCTCTGATTCCAGCCTTAGTATTGTCAGAGTTTTTGCTTATGTTATCTTTTATAATCCTCAGAAAAACTCATGAAGATAGGTATTAGCATAACCATTTTTCAAGAAACATGAAACAGAAGCTCAAGTTTACCCAGTTAATCTTGGTAATTGTGCCTTAGTTCAAGTCCTCTATTTCTTCTCTCCTTTGCTATGCAAATAGCTTTCCTGCCTAACTCCAACCTTAGTTAAATTGACCCTTCACCCCAGTCTTTGGAAAGCAATGACAAGTCTGATTAAATCACACATGCTCCTGCTTAAAAATTCTTTAGTGGCCTTCCATCATTCATGGCAGTGCTTCTCTATTTTCCCATCCAATTAAGTCTGGTGGTTAAGCACACAGACTATGGGACCAGAATGACTGAGTTTAAATCCTCAGTTTCACCACTTACTATCTGTGTGACTTTGTTCAGGTTACTTAACTTCTCTGTGCCTCAGTTATTGTATCTATAAAATGGGAATTATGATGATATTAATAGTACCTATTTCATGAGATTGTTGTGAAGCTTAACTAAGATAGTGCTTATATATTTAGAACAGCTCTTGGCACATAGTGACTGGTAGACAATTAATGCTGTTCACTAAATACGAGTATTTCTGGCTCTCTGCCTTCTAGGTACATGGTAGGATTTTACTTCCTGCCCTCCTATAGTTGAGTATGGCCAGTGAGTTTGAGCTGAAAGGGTATGTCTCACTTCACAACTGAAGCATTTATTTGCTGCCTTGAGACTCCTCTGATTCTCTTTCCATCTGGCACGTTAACCATCAATGTTCAAGATGATGACTATTTTAGTTTGGATTATCATAGACTAGGTGGCTTAAAAAACAACAGCAATTTATTTCTTTCTTACAGTTTTGGAGACTGAGAACGCCAAGACCAAGGTGCCAACAGATTTCAGTATGTGGCATGGAGTGAAGGATGTAGAAAAAGAAATCTAAAGTCTTATCTTCCATAGGGGGAAGTGAATAAACAAAGCTGAAAAGGTAAACAATGATAGTGTGAGCACATCTTTAGGTAAATTTGTAAATTTCAGAAGAAACAACAAGAGTTGAAAATGGTTGCCTCAGAGTAGTAGGTATCAGGGCGGGTAGAGGTGGGGCAGGGCATTACATTTGTCATTAGAAGCCTTGCATAACTTGTATAACTATGTACATTTTACTTTGATAAAAAAATTTTAATTACCCTAATATTAAAAAACCCCACAATTTTACTATGATCAACACCATGGACTCATGGGCTCTAAGAGATGTTTCTTTTCAAAACTTTTTTTTTTCATTTACAGTTGGCATTCAATATTATTTTATATTTGTTTTTAGGTACACAGCATAGTGGCTAGACATTTATATAATTTACAAAGTGATCCCCCTTCAATCAGTCTAGTACACACCTGGCACTATGCATAGTTACTACGTGTCAAGGTAGTTTTTACTACATGTTAAATGAGCACGTAGTTATTTTGGTTCTTCCAATCAATTCTTGATTTTAAGAAGCCCTTGAGGCTCTCCGTACTGTAGGCACCACACACTTGAAATATTCATCCAGGTAGACTCAACAGGTCTCCAAGTAACTTTGTTAGCACCCTCATTAAGGTGGGAACTTCCCTTGATCCAGCTAGTGGGGCCCTACTTACCCAAATATATTATACAACTAATATGTCTGAACAGAAAGTGGCCCAGATTTGCAAACTGCCGCACAAATTCAGTGTTGTGCCAATAATACAGTCTTCCTCTTGGTTTTGTCTCTTACCAGAAAACAGATGTGTCACCCACACTTGCCAGCCCACTTTCCTCTGTTTTTGAAGTCCTCACTGATTCCTGGACCTCTTCTGGTTGTGCTTTTATGGACTCATGCGCTAGGGACCTCGGGTTTGCACACTGCCCTCTGCACCCTTTGCTGATTTCCAACATGGTGTGGTGGGTCTGATCTGATTCCTATGTGTCTTGTGCTGGTGTACCCTGAGTTACAGGTGGTTCTGTTTGGCTACCCTGCTGATCCCTGCTGAAGATCATGGCTAGGGAAACCAGTGACTTCTCTGCTGAATCTCCTGGCTGGGTCTCTGGTGCTAGTGATGTGTAGCTGTTGGCTTCAGCATGTGGCCCATGCAGTGAGTTCAGAGCACCCAGCTGAGCAGCCAGTTCATGGCTTCTTGAGACTGGGATCCCATGGCCACACCGCTGCTCCTCCTCACTGGCGGGGGATTTGCTCCCCACAATCTCTGAGAGATAATCCTTGCCTTCTATCTGACTCACCAGCACTCTGCCATTTCCAACAACTGCCTAATGAGATACCATTTTGGACAAGGAGCTCCTGTAAGTGACCTTAGAAAGGTTGGAAAACTGGTGCTTGGACTGCAGAGAAAATAACACCGTACAGGCTGTCATGAGGATTAGGAATGATAAAGAGAATTTTTAAGAGGAGGGAGTCTGGATGATATTTCTATTTTGTTTTTTGTTTTTTTACAAACAACAATAAAAGATAAAAGCAAATTAATATTAACCTTTAGAGTTGAGGAGTTTCCTTTCCATCAGTGGACTAACCTGGAGTGACAGTTGTGGCTCCACGTGTTGCCTTCTGAGCTGGGAATCAGCTGAAATCACCATAGTCATTAGCGAGGCAACGGTCTGGCTGCTCAGTGCTCTCACTTCCACCACTGCCATTCACAGCTCAGCATCACTCCCACTAGCATGATGATTGCTTGGGACACTTCTGCCAAAATCCTCCAGCAACTCCTGCAAGGAGAGCTCGCAGAACAGAATGTGTGAGCTGGAAGAAGCCGTGTCCATTACTTCTCAAAGCAAACACTCATGAAGAACCTATTTCATAGTAGACCCTTGCTAGGCACTGCGACACGGCAATGAGGCAGACACAGTCCCTGTCCTCATGGAGTTTACAATCCAGTGGAGGAGACTGAAAAGTCCACAGTTCATTCCGGTGCTATATGATACAACCCTGACTTGTAAAAAGTGCTGGAGCACATTGGAGGGGGACACATAACCCAGGGAAGGCTTCCAGAAGAGGATGATACCTAAACTAGGCCCAAAGAACAAGCAAGCACGAATTTGATGAATCATGACCTTGACGTGAGGTTGGAAACTGACATCAAGACTGCAAACAGTTAAATATGGCTGCATTGCAGGGTGCTCATGGCAGGAGGGAGGGGAAAGGTGAGAGAGTGTTGTTCAACAGGTAATAATGGCCAGATAATTAAAGTTCCTTTATAAGAGCCACAGTAGAAATTCGGTCTGCATCCTGAAGTACATAGGAAGCCAGTTAAAAGGGTGTTTTGTTTTGTTTTGTTTGAGGTGTAATTGACATATAATATTATATTAGGTTCAGGTGTACAGTATAAAGATTTGATATTTGTATATATTGTGAAATGATCACCACAATAAGCCCAGTAAATATCTGTCACCATACATAGTTACCAAAAATTTTTTTCTTGTGATGAGAACTTTTAAGATCTATCCTCTTAGCAATTTTCAAATATGCGATACAGTATAATTAACTATAGTCACCATGCTGTACATTCTGTCCCCACGACTTATTTATTTTATAACTGGAAGTGTGTA